GTTTCAACAATAACCCAGGCCTACCTTCTCACTTGATTGGACCTGTTTCAAATATACATGTCATCCGCCATGTTACTAACTAGTCACACTATCACTGCATGAGGACCGTACACCAGCTTAAATATTGTACAACTCAAAGGTTAGTTAGTATACATTTTAGTTATATAAAATTGTAGATTAAAATCTAATATAAATTATTGTATAAAATAAGTAAAAAAAATTGTTCATGATCATGATCAACCTAGTGTAAGTATACACACAAGCTACCATCTAATCTGTATGAATGTGCGTATGGTTTGTTTTCCATGTTTAATTTGGTCAATATGCTGGCTAGTAATTATTGTTTTGTAACTGTACTGTATGATGTAAGATTGATGTATCATCAATCCTGTATTGTTGGTAATATTGTAGAACTACATAGTGGTGGTCACAAGTATGGATATATGGTTCAGAAAGTATAATGGTATCCCTTTATATATAATCTAGTTGTCAAGAAATACATTTGATCAATGTATTATCCAGTATATAGGTTTACTGTACGAGTTTGTTGTCCGGCTACTTGGTGCATGGGCACACTCCCGTGTCACCCACAGGGTAGGTTTCTTTGTACAGACTTTGTAGTTTGTTTCATTTTTGTGCCTTGTTATTATTATAGTCTTCGTGTCAACAGATAGTTTGTTCATCACATGTAAACATGTGGTCATATAAAGTCATTTGTAACGTATTATTGTGTTTTACATGTACTTAGTTCATAATGATGATATGTTCACCAGGTGTGATTCTATTTTATGTCAATTGTATATTTATAGTATTACAGAGTGTCTTCTTCCACTAGCATGGAATAAACGGATAGTACCTCACAACCCATAGCCTGTGGTTTATGTACATTACATCCTAACACCACTATCTCATGGCTGCAACACAAATGTGTCAGAATATCTAAACTTTCAGAAACTGCAAACGATTTATTTTTTCTATGCGAACATTTTTTTTTTGTCCAGGTTGTTCCATTATGGGAAAGTGATGCGGAACGTGGGCTTGGCAGCTCATGATGTAAATTCCAATACCTGTGGGTACCAAGACTCAGCATACTGCTACCAGCATGTAGGTCACATGAAACTTCAATGGTGTTGACAATAACGACCTTGATCAGTTATTCAAATATGAACCCAAATATCGTAAGCAGCCTCAAGCCATTTCGGATCACAACTCATTATGGATGCTCTCGAAGCATATCCCAATAAATTGGCCAAAAGGGAAGAAGAGCCTGTTGAATGTCTTTCATGGTGGGTTACGTCAGTGCGTGATGCTGTCACTGGAAGAATGCACAACCTGAAGAAGACGAAACAGAAATGGAACAAACCCATTCTGTCCCAGCCAGTTGTCATTCAAAGTCTGGCTGACTAGACTAAAATCTAGTCTCTGAAATGAACATATCGTACATAAAAAAACAGTTGTTCATTTATCTTAATAAAAATATAATAATTCTTTATTCATGTACATGTGTAGGCCAGCGGCCCATGGTACAATATTTGGTCCATCATAAACATTTATAGGCTAAGTGTTTGGAGTCTAACATTCATAGCATGGTATATAAAAGTTGCAACATTTCTAATTACAGTTTCATTGTTTACCGCCATAAGCATATTGAATTTAGCAAGAGTAGGATGTACAAAATACTTCTGTGGTAAATACTTAAGACGAAGTTCATCATAAGCGTTACAAATTAATAAAAAATGATATTCATTCTCGACATATCTTTGGTTGCAACTATTGCACAATCTCTGCTCTCGTGGAGTATTAACGTATCTACCAGTCTCAATATGGAGAGTATGGGAGCTACAGCGAAACTGGGCTAGTGCAACACGAAATTTGTTGATAGTGATAGCAGACAAATACAACTCTAGACTGAATGAATTTTTGAAAAGTGTACAATGGAACATTTTAGAACTATGTGCTAAAGACCAATGCCAGTCCTGTTCGTAAGCAAATTTTAACCGATCTTCACATTCGGAAATAAATGATTCGGGGCAAATAACATATTGGTTCTCCCATATATATCCAAATCCAAGGCTGTATAAAAGAGTTTTGACTTTTGTAGCCCAATTAGTTTTACCATGTGTGGCTAGCTGAAATAACATATCATAACTTTTCTTAGGATATCGTGAATTTGGTAGGGACATAAGTTTACACCAATATTTTATACAGCGTTTATACGCAGAAATGTACAGTGGGTATCTTCCACACTCTCCTCGCACAACATGATTGGGAGTAGACGTTTTAACACCTAGCAGACGTTTACAAGCAAGTACATGGATACTTTCTATTTCTTTGCAGTTTTCAAAACTCCATATTTCAGCCCCATATAACATAATTGGAGCAATTTTAGTATCGAATATTTTAAAAAATAGTTTCAGTGGAATAGGTTTAAGTGATGAAAGGGATTTTAGAACCGAGAACAATACCCGTTTAGCCTGTAATGAAGCATTGTAAGTATGTTTCGACCATGATAAATTCTTTGAAAATACAACTCCCAAATATTTGTACGATGATACACATTCCAACTGACAACCAGTGAAATACCATTTCTCAGATCTAGAAAGTACACCACCATTCTTAAAAACTACTATTTTCGACTTATCAAGATTTACCTTTAGGGAATAATTCTGGCAATAGTGTTCGAGTACATCGATGCGTTTTTGGAGGCCATATACAGTATCTGATATAAGAATTACATCATCAGCAAAGAGTAGCAGGAATAGTTGAATTATGTCTGGATGGAGCTGGATTCCGGGTTCACAGTTAGCCTCAATTTCAACAGCTAGATCATTGATAAACAATGAAAACAAAAACGGGCTCAGTACACAGCCTTGACGGACACCCAAGTCACAATCGAATACATCTGAGAAGTTATTGTTAAACTTTACACAGGAACGTACAGTCGTATATATGGATTGTATACATTTAAACATTTTAGGTGACACACCACTGTTATTCAAAACTATCCATAGTTTTGATCTGTTTATAGAGTCGAACGCTTTGGAGAAGTCTACAAATAAAGCATATAGTTTACCTCGCTTCTTCCCCAGATAACGCTGTATAACTGACTGTAAAATAAACATATTATCAATTGTGGAATAGCCACAACGAAATCCTGCTTGCGACTCCACAACTTTATCATAGGCATCACACCAAGACTGCAACCTTCTATTTAGAACAGAAATATATAACTTGCTAAAAATACTTAATACTGTAATCCCTCGGTAGTTATCGGGTGTATTAGTATCCCCTTTCTTGTGTAATGGTACAATTTGGCCAGTCAACCAGGAAATCGGAAAATAAGCGGAATCAAACATAACGTTAAACAGACAGGTAATATAGGGAACTAACACATCGCATGCGTATTTGAACATTTCAGCAATAAGCTTATCACTGCCGGCAGCTTTGCCTGTTTTCAATTTGTTAATTGCCTCAATTACCTCCTGCTGTTCAATTGGCGAGTCTAAGATAGATTGAGTTAAGTCATCAAAATTGTTATCTGGCACAGTGTTATCTTCATCCCCCATTTCTGAATCGAACAACCCCTTAAAATGTGAAAACCATTGCTCAATATTTATATTTGGCTTAGGACGGACAGTGGTAGCAGACAGACGTTTCAAATTTGCCCAAAATATTTTACTGTTATCCAAGTTAGTCAAAATTGTACTCTGTACATTGTCTTGATATAACTTCTTTTTTTCACGGATAACATGTGTATAAGTATTTCTTGCCTTAATATAGTTACAAAGTGATGACGAATCTTTTAGTGATCGGAAAACCTTAAGAAGCCTATATCTTTCACAGCGGTGGTATTCACACTCCCTATCGAACCATGGCTGTTTACTTCTAGAAATATAAGAAGGGCGTTTCATACATTTCGCAGCGGTACATAAAACATCTGAAAATACCTCAACTGCTTTATCAATATTACCTGAAGCGATAAAATCTGAACACTTGTCAAGCATTGCAATAGAATTTGTAGACAGTAAACTGTCTCTAAAAGTTTGAGTTTTGTCCTCGTTCCACACAAAGCGGTAGCTGTCCCCTGGGTCTCGTGCAACACGCTCACGGTCTCTCGATCCAGCTTTGGCACGTGCGTGAAATGAACATGTAACTGGCATATGGGTCGACTCTGTTCTATTTGCAATGTCAAACTGTTTGCACAACATAAACAATGAAGGGGATGCAACAATATAGTCGATTACGCTTGTGCCATTGTGGCTGATGAAGGTATAGTCACCTTTTGCCGCGTCTGATCCACATCGGCCATTGAAAAAGCACAAATTCAAAGCACTACATACGTTTAGTAAAATCTTACCAAGGCGATTAACAGTAGTATCACAAGAGAAACGATTGGTGATCACGTTGCCATAAATATCAGAAGGTTCCTGGATGCCAAGCCTTTCAGCAATATCACTCTCTGCGGCATCGGGCTCATTACCGGTTCGGGAATTAAATTCACCCCCAAGCATGATAAACATATCACCATATTTTTGTATAACATCTAACAAGGATTCAAATAATAAACTTATTCCACATTTTGTTGGTTTACCCCTGTACCAAGTTGACCCATCAGGATTGACATAAACACAAGCTACCAATACATCTTTTTCTAGCTTAAATACCGATTTATCCAAAATAACATATATCACATTCTGTCCAATAATGTGCTCTTTGACATAATTGACTAGAGACTTTCTAATAAGTACTACAATCCCCCCCGATAATCTCCCAAAAGATGACAATCTCTCTGCAGACAAAACATATGGCTGGTAATCACCGAGTTGATCAAAATCACAGTCCTTGGCCCATGTTTCTGTGAGTCCAATAAAGTCAAACTGTGTGATATATGAAACAAATTCATCGTCTAGAAGTTTATTAGTAATACCGGAAATGTTCCAGAACAAGAAATCTGAAATTGATTTAGTAACACAGCGATAATCCGGGCCTCGGCCACACCTCTATTTATCATTAGTATCTGTGTCCTGCCTATCTGAATGCTGTTGGTAATCCTTAACTACAAGGGCACCATTCTTGTAGTAGCCTTGCTTGTTGTTACGTCTCAAATCCTGGAGTACTTTCCTCTGGTGTGTGGTGAGATCACTGCCTATACCATATCCACTCTCCTTCAATTTATCGCGCAGGCCTATTGCTCCCACTTTGCAGTCCATAGAATTGAATCGAACTATAATAGGTCTCGGGCGATTAGACTTTGCATAGCCAATCCTATGGGCGTTCACAATGTCGGTTGCTGAAAATGGAGTACCATCATTATGGGTGTTCAGTGTTTCGCAAATAACTTCCTTTATGTTCATTTTATTTTCATCAGGTTTCTCAGCGACACCATACAGCAGTATATTCTGCTTCCGGCTGTACTGTTCTAGTTTATCCACAGTATTCTCAAGGTTGTCAATCTTATCGGTAACATAACTATATGCTGACCTGTCTAAAGTAGAACTATGCTCCTCAACACAAGCGACACGTTCAGATACTGCATCTATGTCCAGCCGTAGTATTTCCTGTTGGCTTTTCATATCTGCTATTTGTAATTTGAGTTCATCCACGGACTGATTCAATTTACGTGTGTCAGACTTTATATCACGGATATCCCTAGAAAGTTCACACTTCATTGCCCGAAGCTCTTGTAAAATCTCATCTTTACATGTTTGGAAGTCGACCTTTGGGGGCCCCGGGTTTAATTCCACATCCCCTGAGAGAAGCAAATAAAAATATAATAAAAAGGAGCCCAGTGACTCTCTTCATTTTCAGATACTGCAGTGATCTAGACTTGCCAAACATTATAGACTTGCATGGGCTGTATTTGATATATATTTGTATCAGGGTCTGTAAGACAGACTATCTGGCTGACCTACATGGAACCTTTCGTTCCACTGACAAGGCCTCCAATAGCATAACCAGTATATGTAAGGATCATCACGTTAATTGTTTCATCAAAGAAGTTGTTATAAGAGATAATACAAGTCACCAACCAACCAACTATAGCCTGAAGACTTGTCCCTTCCTCTGTTGTACTGGATTCCAAAGCTCCATAACAATCAGTACAAAGAAAGAGATGCTGGGTTCGGCAAATGTAGCACCGGATTTCTGTGTAAAAAGATTAACCATAATCCTTTATACAATCAAGGAATGATTTGCTTCATATTCACAGAAAGCATTGAAACAAGTCAAATTAATACCACGTGGATTCACAGAAACTCAAAGGATCTGCTTGACCATTTCCAATTTCAGAAAAGAACCCGTTTCCATTCTGTCAAAACAAATTCATTTTTCAACTTTGTACACCACTATCCAACTTGACAAACTTATGGAAACACTTCATTCCTTGATCCATGAGGCTTTTGTTACAAAATGCGCAACCTGAACTTGACTGAGAAAATTATATGTGAAATGTTGGACTTCTTCGTTGATAATTTTTTTTTGAAAATTGGGGGAACACGTTTAGACAAGAAGTGGGCACCCCAACGAGCACCAGTTGCGATCCCCTTCTTGTTGATCTCTTTCTTTATGTACTTGAATCCGAATTTGGCCAAGACGTTTAATCTAGACTTCATATCGTTCAATAACAAGCAACATCACGGCGGGGGACACCAGAAATGGGCTTTAAACATTGTACCCGTGTCAAGAATCGAACCCGGGTTTTCGTCGACGTGACGAGCGAACACTTTAACCACCAGACTACCCGACCGCCCCCATAAAGAATCAGAGTGACAAACTCTTTCAACAAGACTATATGACAAACTTGTCAGACAAATCCCTATTGTGCATTCATGTTAAAATAACTGGAATCATGTGTGAATTCAAAACGTCAATGCCAGAAAAAATTCAGCATTATCTTTCCACCCCGATTCCATTGGTCGCAAAAGGCAAGCTGTTTCACTGTTTCACTATTATCAGTTGTGTCGTTGGCACTGATATTGGTCTTTATGATCTTTAAGCTATTTCATTTGTTTAATATGCTGTTTATTGTACGAGTATTTGCATCAAAATGCATTTTCATTTTCGATACTCTTTGTATTCTTTATGCGTATTATCAACAGTATCGTTGGTGATGATATTGATCTTTAAGTTGCCACTAAGAGTAGTTTTGCATGTATTGTCACTACCGCTATCTAAATGCCCTCAAACAACTTTATTTATTAGTGAAACATGACTAGTTTATGCCAACAAAGAACAAAATCACTGAAGATCTAACACTTTTGAAAATACTTCATCTAACTCTATAGGAAACGTCACATCTGTTATGCTGTTTTAACATAGAAATGGCATTATTATGCATATAATGCCACTTCCTTTCATCATGAAACAAACCGACAATGCACTCCGTGTTTAATCATGGCATTATGTCTGTATTAAAAACACCACTCGACAAAGCTGTTTCACTAAATTGGAAGAAGTTGTGAGGTGAAAACCAAACGAGGTATGTATACGTTAATATCTACTACCCTAGTCACATGCTTCAGTGTGCACCCCAATTGCGTGGATCGGTAAACATGTCAATCACTGGATTGTTTGTTGCCTACTCGATTATTTCCAGCCTGCCTTCATACAGCTGTAATGTTGCTGAGTCGGGTGTCAAACAAACAAACAAAACACACAAACACCAGTCTCTCCAGTAGAGAGACATCATTGAGCACGCAAACTAGTCACTCTCCTACCATTCAGCACTCAAACCATTCAGCGACCAAAACAATCAGCGCTCAACACCAATCAGTGATCTAACCAATGAGCATTCAAAACAATGAGTGAGTATACCATTGCGCACTCCAACAAATGAGTTCTCAAATGAATGAGCTCTCAAACCAATGAGTGAGTGAGTGAGTATGGTTTTACGCCGCTTTTAGCAATATTCCAGCAATATCACGGCGGGGGACACCAGAAATGGGCTTCACACATTGTACCGCCCCTTATCTCTTTGTGACCTGACAAAATTGATTTATTCATGACTTTCGAGATACCATATGTTCTACAAATACAACTTTGGTATGTCAGTTACATAAAACGCAACCTTACATAACTTCATATACCTACACTACTTCATGATATGTTTTCCTTCTAACACATGAGTACTTGAGTTTTTTAATGAATGAGTGGGTGAGTTAAACGTTTAAGTCACATCGGCAATATTTCAGCCATATCGTGACTATCAATAGTTTAACATAATACATATATTGAAACTTGTTTGATAGGCATTACTTAGAAGTTGGCGGATGACAAGATAGACACAATTTTATGGATAACAACTTATCCCACTCATGTATGCCCTTGTTGTTACTGTTAATCCTCTACTGTTAATCCTCTACTGTTAATCCTCCACTTGTTATATATATTCTGCACTATGTCCCTCATTCAGGATCTATACCGAAACGTCGCTTTTTACAGTATTAAAGAAGTTGTTATCCATAAAATTGTGTCTATCCTATATTGAAACTATTTTTATTGTCGGTGTTTTTGGCCGGAAATAGCAACAATATTTCACAATTCAAATCATCTGCCGGATTGTGGTAAATCAAACACTGTATATGATATGACTCGAGCCATGACTCGCCTCCTTATGGACCGACGATTTGATATTCTGGAGTGTTGCAAGATGTATTTCTCAAACAAGGGCTCAAAGTGTTAAGTGTCTAGTATCTCATCTCGACTCAAAATTTCAGCCGTCATTTGTCAGCTTTTCATATTTGCATAAGCAGTGACTTGCTAGAAATTATTTCGTCTCGTCACGATATGGCTGAAATATTGCCGATGTGACGTTAAATATTAACTCACTCACTAATTATTTCGTAATTCTGTATCAAAGTTTGTTAACTTCAGTAAAATGTTCACCTTCCTCGTCGTCCTCCTCCTCATCAATGCCATGGCTGTTATGACGCAGCCAGCTGATGGTGCCAGAGGTCCTCCTTATACCGACGATGTAAAACTTATGGAACGGTCGATCGAGTCAAAGGTAATGTCGTCATCATCGTACATAAAGTTGCATTTCTAGAAGTAGTAATGGTAATGAAGACAGTTGACGTACGGATTTATACCCCCCATCCCCCCAACCCCATCCTTCCAACCCCATCCTTCCACGAGTATCAAGTGGTCAGAAAACAATTCAGTATATATTGACCATGACGTGATTTCCATATATGGAGTACATATACCAAACGGTCATTAATTATTAATTACTTAGTCACCCATGTGTACGTAATTACTACTTCTACAGTTGATCCGGATATTCTTTTATTCAGATAAGTTGTTATGTGGGGCTGTACCGTAGGTATTAACAGTTTTTTACTCAATATGCCATCATGATGATGTTACAAAAGGAAAAAAATTGTGTCTTTATAGATTCCTCCGTTTCAGCTGATGTCAGGCCACCTATTTCAGGGAGGGTGGGGAGTGCCAGGAGTGCCAGGAGCGCCAGGAAGGCTCAATTAATCCAATCTGGAACAGACGTCCGGTCACATCGCTGACTCTTGATGTTCAACAGAGAATAAACACAACATAGAAATCGTCTGGACTTTTGTTTTGTTTCTTTTTTTAAATCAAATATTGTCCCGCGATACGACGTTGGACGAATGTGGAGCAGACAAACCAGTGATTGATATGTTGAGCAACGTTTCATATCTGCTCTGACTTTTGCAGGTTTTGTGTGGGCGGCAGACTGCAGCAGTCGTAACCAGTAACCATGACAACACATGACCGCGTTTCACGGTTGACTTATTTGTTAGAAATTGCTGAAATTTTACGATGTGCGTCTCAAGTCTGACAAGCAAATCATAGTACTTCCGGTTGGGAAACAATTCATCGAGGGCGAAAACCTGATCCTGATATAACTTGTATGTTACACTATGAACATGGATCATGGCTGTTCAGTATATTCAAACCACATGCTTCTCGTGAGGCGACTATGCTTGTTGTAAAAAGTTACTTAAAGGCATTTCGACTTCTGTAGAGATAAGTACCTCAAATGCTAATATGAATGAAACATAAGAGATCTAAATCAGTTCCAACAATACAGCTGAAGATATTGAAGACCAAAGAGTAGTTTGATGTATTTACTCAAGATTTTAGCAAATTAAGCAAATGAGATGGATTGCCTTATGCGCGGAATAGAATCGGGTTCGATAGGTTAGGCTGAATATTTTCCGACGCTGACATCTGATTCCATTCATTTTCACGTGGACATTTGACTCATTGGTTTGCGCGCTTAATGGTTTGAGTGCTCATTGGTTTCTCTGTCTCTCTCCTTATATGTTAGCTTTTAGATTGATTGTGTGTTACGTCCCGTATGAAGGCAAGTTGTAAATAATCGAGTCTGACACAAACAGTTCAGTGATCAATATGGGTACTGTGCCAAGCCAGCGGGTTGCCCAGCAAGCAAGTGCCCGTGTATCACAAGCTTACTGATGTTGTCCTTGTCCTTGCTTCTGTAAGCGTCTGGGCAAGCAGCCAATTGTTCCACCATGGACACTGTGTCGTAAGTGGGACGACAGACACTGGGATATGGCCCGTGCTGGTCTTTCACGCCATGATGTTCCTGTAGAACATAGACTTGTGTTGCAATGGTGCTTCCGTAAGCATCTGGGCGCTCCTGAAGAGCAACCTCCCCGTGGTGAGTGTTGGGTAACGCTAATCGCTCTTTCCCCGTGTGGACCCGGGGTAGAATGTGTCCTCAGCACCCCATTGCTTGTCGTATGAGGCGACTAAATTGGGCGGCCTGTTTGCCGTGGGTTGCGTCCCTGTGTCGGGAGAAGAAGGGAGTCTGGTGGTTGACGGTACTGGAGCCAGGAACCGGTGTTTCTTTGCCCAACACACCACTTCGATCCTAACTTCACCTAGACGGGTGGTAGAATGGATCGATTCTATCAATCGTCTGGTCACGCCAAGCCCTGTTCATAAAAGTATGTCTGCACACACGTGATTTTATTATAAATGCTTTATTAAGACTTGACCATGTATAACATGTTTACATTTTTAAATTATTTATGTCACAATTTGCCTAGAGTCTTATGCCAGAAGGCGGTGGCTCATGGGCCAATCAGGTGATGTTGACCTCTGAATAATATAGTGAGTGAGTGAGTATGGTTTTACGCCGCTTTTAGCAATATTCCAGCAATATCGCGGCGGGGGACACCAGAAATGGGCTTCACACATTGTACCCATGTCGGGAATCGAACCCGGGTCTTCGGCGTGACGAGCGAACGCTTTAACCACTAGGCTACCCGACCGCCCCCTGAATAATATATGTCCTTTGGCATGGGCATAGAGTCTGGCATAGAGTTGGTAGATAAATATAGCTATTTGCGTCATTTTTGCTGGAGTATAGAACTCCTGTATCCCTGGTGTTTGCATCTTGGATATCCGTTGCAATGTGACACCGTCCTTGTTGACACCCCCTGGTGGGTGAGAAGCGCTACTTTCTGTCATGTCTCTCCCACAACTTGCTTCAAATAGAAATGAAAAAAAGACTAGTAATTGACAATTCAACGGACAATGTATCTCAAAACATATATTCATGGGCTAGATTTCTAGTGATTGAAGCTAAAGATCAGCTACCCCAAAAACTCAACCCTTTTGCAATTTCAAAAGCTGTTTCTGGGAGTTGAGGCGAGGTTAGGAATATAACTCGTCTCCGTGGTGGTTCTCCCTGGGTGGAATGTTTGCAGAGACAGCAATCTCCTAATCTTTTATTGATTCATACATTTGCAAATGAAGAGGTTGCTGTGTCCGCACACAGGACATTAAACTCCTGAGGGGCATTATTCGAGACAAAGCTCGTTGTCTGGCTGTCATGTCAGAAGATGAAACAAGTATTTGTCACAAAGTGACGAAATGTCCCCCGCCTGTATATACACCATTGTACCAAATATGAAGACAATCCAGCGATTAGTTCTTGAGATATTGCGGCAACACCGTTTTCCAACTCCAAAAACAGATTTGCCTGCTATGACCTTGAAAATGGGGTCAAGGTCACCAAAACCGACTGGTGTATGCGGTGTCTGTATATACACCATAGTTCCAAATATGAAGACAATGCAGCGATTAGTTCTTAATATACCGCGGCAACACCGTTTTCACACTCCAAAAGCAGATTTGCCTGCTGTGACCTTGAAAATGGGGTCAAGGTCACCAAAACCGACTGGTGTCTGCGGTGTCTGTATATACACCATAGTTCCAAATATGAAGACAATCCAGTGTTTAGTTCTTGAGATATCGCGGCAACAAACAGGTGGGACGTACGGACGGACGTACGGACGTACGTACGGACGGTCGTGAATACTATATCCCCCGCTTCGCGCTTTCGCGCGGCGGGGGACAATCAGAGTTGGATGATCAGGCTGTCACGGCTGTTAAACGCTTTACTGTCAGGAAAGAGAGTGCCATTGAAAACACAAATACATATCTACTGACCTTTGCACGCTTATCTATTAAAGCTGGTTATAACAACATCGGAGTGGAGGTGTATGTCCCCAGTCCACTCCGATGTTTCACTTGTCAACACTTTCGTCATGGTTCAAAATCATGTCGTAATTCTGTGGTTTGTTATCGCTGTTGTGGCGACCATGATGGCACCAGTTGTACAAATGAAATCAAATGTGCTAACTGTGGCAATGACTATGTCGCCTCATCCAAGTCCTGCCCTGTGTGGCAGACAGAATCCAAAATAATCAAAATTAAATGTGAACAAAACATTTACTACAATGATGCTAACTAACTTGTAAAAAGGAGTCAACTCCCAAAATATTGAATTATTCTGCAGCTGTTTCCCTCCCTGTCTCTACTTCCTCTATTCATTGTCAGACTGATTGGACCTGGGTTACGTCTCATCAGCCAGTTCCAACCAAATCAGTTGCTCAAACGAGGTCAGTTGAAAATCAGCCTAGTTCCTCAATCACTCACTCTACAGCAGAAACTCAGACCAGTAATCAGAATGTGGGTCAATCTGACCCAGCTGTTACAGCACAGTTGTAAGTACATTCATCCATAAAAGGAAAGAAAAAACTGAACAGACAAGCTGCCAGGGTACCCTCTCTACCAGAGGTACCGGTTCACAACTCGTTTGAACTTCTGGACGTGGAGGTAACTCCGTCTTCAGGGAGATCACCAATTCAGCCACCATGACTCACTCATCAAAATTCATTCAATGTTGGTTGGTTGGTTGTTTAACGCCGCACTCAGCAATATTCCAGCTCTATGACGGCGGTCTGTAAATAATCGAGTTTGGACAAGACAATCCAGTGATTGATATCATGAGCATCGATCCACGCAATTGGGATCCATGACATGCATCAACCAAGTCACCGAGCCTGACCACCCGATCCCGTTAGCCGCTTTTTACGACAAGCATAGTCACCTTTCACGGCAAGCATGGGTTGCTGAAGACCTATTCTACCATGGAATCTTCACGGGTCTTTAATTCAATGGAACTGTAGAGGACCTAGGAACAATTATAATGATTTACAGCTCTTAACCCAGGATTTTACACCATCTGCAATATGTTTACAAGAACCATACTATAAAGACACTGACAAATTTGATATTAGAGGTTATACCTCCTACAGGTGCTAACGCCCCTGGGGGTTCCTCAATTTTAATGAAACACAACGTCATCCATAGCCCTGTTCATCTTTCTTCTCCCCGTCAAGCTGTTGCAGTCCGTGTATCTTTGCACATTGAAATTATCCTTACAGTGCATCACTAAATTATATTCTAATCAGTCAAATCCAGCATCTGAAGGCATATTCCATCCTCTTTACGAAGATCTTTACAATATGAAATCATCACTCACTCCACCCTTCGGAATTCAGAATAAAATCTGGCATATCGGATTCTAATATTAAACTTCAAGATATAGCTCCTACTCAACTTTTTTCTTCTCCTCCTTGGCAAATGGTAAAGCCAGAGGTAGACCTTACATTAACAAAACTAAAGAAATCAGATACTAACCAGTTACTTTACCAACAAGAATACTTTCAGTTAAGACACACTTATGACACTTATAAATCTATATTTACAGATGGATCCAAGGATGGTGGCGCAGTTGTTAGTGCCACTGTCATTTGATCCAGAACAATATCTTCACGATTACCAAATAACAGTTCCATATTTACAGCAGAAGCAAACACCATTTTTACCGCTCTGAAATATATCAACAACCAATCTAAATATAAACAGTTCATTATTTTTTAGATTCACTTTCATGCCTTCAGGCAATTAAAAATATGTCATTTAAACATCCACTTTTAATCCATATTCTTGAATTATTTAATGATCTTGCTACTGGCCAATATGACATCGTCTGTTCATGGTTACCAAGCCATGATGCTATCATTGGTAACTTAATGGCCGATGCTGCTCCAAAAGCAGCACTCAACAAATCTGTGACACCACTTCTTATCCCACACACTGATTATAAACCTGTTATTAGATCTTACATCCGTGATCTGCTGTAACAGAAGTGGGACACCAAAGGACGTATCAATAAATTACATCAAATTAAACCAAA